TTTCTGTCACAGATCCCCTCTGTTAAGTGAAGGGCACCCACAACCTTCAACTTGTCAGTTTGTCAATATACCAAAAATAACGTTTCTTTTTACCTTTGCTTTCTTACACAGAACTCAATCATCTTCCTTGTCTCTGGCTCTGAAGTTTGGAGTGGAGAAGGAGCATTTGGGGACTATGGGGACATGTGTGAAACTTAACACTATGAGTTCTAGTCCTTGTTCTGTTCAGTTTGTGTCTGCCTGAATCAGCTGAGAAATAGCATCTAGTATACATATTGTCTCTGGAGTAGTGTCAGAGTTTGGTACCTTGCAAAAGAGGTCTGAGTTCAAAAATCAGCTGGATAGAAGTCTTTGTCTTCCTTTTTGAGTACACAATACCAACAGAGGTCTTAAAGCGGTTGTTTTTTGAAGACAGGGTCTGGCTCTGACAGGTCTCTGTCATCCAGGCTGGAGTGCAGTGGTGCAATCCTGGCTCACTGTAAAACTGCCTCTGGGCTCAAGCTATCTTCCCACCTCAGCCTCGTGGTAGCTGGCATACAGACGAGCACTACCATGCCTGGCTAATTTTTGTATTTTTAGTAGAGATGGCGTTTTGCCATGCTGTCCAGGTTAGTCTTGAACTGAGTTCAAGCGATCCACCCACCTCAGCCTCCAAAGTGCTGGGATTACAGGCATGAGCCATTGCACCCTCTTAAAGCTGCTGCTTTTCCAGCCTAACTTAAACTGCAGAATGGAGATAGGTTACATGGTATTTTTAAAATTTAATTCCAGATGCTCTTCAACCAAGGAAACAAAAAATCTAGTTCACTTGGGGTGGAGAAAAGACCAAAGAGTTGGCATCCTGCCTTGTGTGTCAAACACGAGTGTAACTGGGCCAATACAGTTGACTTGAACTTTCCAATCCTCAGTTAGGGGCTGAAGCAGTAACTGAAGCAATGGGCTAGTGTCCCAAAGCCAGGCCTCAAAGTTGCCCAGCCTGACCCTAGGCTATGCAAATAGCAAAAAGGGCAGGCTTGGTCAAAGTCAACTAGGATTTAAAAATCCCTTTGGGGTAAACTGGCTTTGGTACTATCACAAACCACCATACAAACCAAAGTCATAAGGCAGACCAGTTCTGCTGTTGTACATTTTAACAAAGGCTATTTAACACACCAAGAAACTACAGAAGCTGAATTGTCAGGACTTATTTTAAATATTTCAGCCTTGCCTCACTTTTGCCACCTCATTAGCCTAAGCCAAAATAATATAATAATAACAACAACAACAACAATAATAATAATAAAAGCCTTAAAAAGGCACTGCTTTGCTTGCCCCGCAAAACAGGGCCAACTATGCTTTTCATTCCAGCAGGATGGTTTTATTTCAGATTTCCTTTACTTTCAACATTCAGCAGTTTATTCAGGAAACTTACAAGGCCAAGGTCAATTAAGTCATTCATAAGAAAGGCGAGGAACTTTAAACCTAACACACCAGATAGGAAAGTAGTAACTTTTGGGGAAAACCTCAGTGCTGGACATCGTCAAAACAAGCTGATGATGTAGATCCAGACTGACAAGTTGTGTTGGGACCTTAAGCTCTACTGTTATCAAACTCCTGTAATCCCACAAGGACACACTAGGATGCCTCTCCCTGATCATTGTTTTCTATTGCTGAGAGCTAAGACTCCTTTATTAAGTTGATCACTAACACTGAGCCTGGACTTAGTTCAGTCCTATCAGCTTTAAATTTTAAATGAGGACATATCTTCATCAGAAAACCTGCACATTAATCCCAGCTATCTATCATTTTCCCTTTTACTATGAGAAATAATTGCTTTATAATGCAGATTCCCAATGCCACAGTCCATAAAGATGTGCTGCATACACAGACAAACCTCAAATGGTCAGAGTTTAAGATCAAACTGAGCCAAGTCTATGGCCACTACAGAATTGAGAGTTCTGGAATATAAGGTCATATCTGAAAACAGGTATTTAAAAATTTAATTAGGTGAGGTGTGATGGCTCACACTTGTAATTCCAACACTTTGGGAGGCAGAGACAAGAGGACTGCTTCAGCCCAGGAATTCAAGATCAGCCTGGGCAACATAGTGAGACCCCATCTCTACTAATAGTTAAAAAAAAAATAATAATTAGCTGGGCATTATGGCACACATCTGTAGGGAGGATCCCTTTAGCCCAGGAAGATGAGTCTGCTATGAGCCATGGTAGCACCACTGCACTCTAGCCTGGGTGACAGAGTAAGACCATCTCTCCAAAAAAAAAAAAAATTAAAAATTATATATATATCTCTCTCACTGAAAATTACTTAAAAATTGCTGGGCACGGTGGCTCATGCCTGTAATCCCAGCACTTTGGGAGGCCAAGGCAGGTAGATTGCCCGAGGTCAGGAGTTCGAGACCAGCCTGGCCAACGTGGTGAAAGCCCATCTCTACTAAAAATACAAAAAATTAACTGTGCATCATGGTAGGCACCTGTAGTCCCAGATACTCTGGAGACTGAGGCAGGAGAAATGCTTGAATCTGGGAGGCAGAGTTTGCAGTGAGCCAAGATCGTGCCAGGGCAACAAAAGCAAAATTCCATCTCGAAAAAAAAAAAATTGGCTGTCAATGTTTTTTTTTTTGAGATGGTTTTGCTCTTATCACCCAGGCTGGAGTGCAGTGGCACAATCTCTGCACATTGCAACCTCCACCTCCCAGGTTCAAGTAATTCTCCTGCCTCAGCCTCCCAAATAGCTGGGATTATAGGTGCTCACCACCACGCCGGGCTAATTTTTGTATTTTTGGTAGAGAATAGTTTCAGCATGTTGGCCAGGCTGGTCTCAAACTCCTGACCTCAGGTGATTCACCTGCCTTGGCCTCCCAAAGTGTTGGGATTACAGGTGTGAACTACGGCGCCTGGCCAGTTGTCAAAATTTTCAAACGATATCAAATGCAGGAACAAACTCAGCACTGTCAGGGTGTTGTTTCTGTGGTCGTTATTCCATCCACTTACAATATGAAACTTAAGACAATGAAGGAGCAAGACTTTTGTTTTACTGGCTCTGCCAGTACAGGACACCTCAGGTAATAATGATGTCACAGTATTAGCAAGCTCCGCTTTTCTAACGGTAACTAAGATAATTTATTTCCTCTTTAATTCCCGGGCAAGAGGTCTATGATGGTGCAATTTTATGGAAACCATCCAACAAACATGTTTTTCCACTGTCTGAAGAAATATTATTTGGCCGGGAGTGGTGGCTCATGCCTGTAATCCCAAGACTTTGGGAAACTGAGGCGGGCAGATCACCTGAGGTCAGGAGTTTGAGACCAGCATGGCCAATATGGTGAAACCCTGTCTCTACTAAAAATACAAAAAAAATTAGCCAGGCCTGGTAGTGCACACCTGTAGTCCCAGCTACTTGGGAGGCTGGGGCAGAAGAACTGCTTGAACCCTGGAGGCTTCTAAGCTGCAGTCAGCCAAGATCGTGCCATTGCATTCCAGCCTGGGCAACAGAACAAGACTCTGTCTTAAAAACAGAAGAAACAATAAACAAAGCAATAATCTCTGAATATTTTCTCAAGCTGACTTAACATTTGTTGTGCCTATTTATTTTTGTAGCAGTTTGAATTTGTGGCCTCAACAATCATAAAAAAGTTGGTCCTTAAACCATAGATCTAGTGATGTTCTAATTGGCCTTTGAAAATAACAAAATTCGGCCGGGCGCGGTGGCTCAAGCCTGTAATCCCAGCACTTTGGGAGGCCGAGGCGGGTGGATCATGAGGTCAAGAGATCGAGACCATCCTGGTCAACATAGTGAAACCCCGTCTCTACTAAAAATACGAAAAATTAGCTGGGCATGGTGGCACGTGCCTGTAATCCCAGCCACTCAGGAGGCTGAGGCAGGAGAATTGCCTGAACCCAGGAGGCGGAGGTTGCGGTGAGCCGAGATCGCGCCATTGCACTCCAGCCTGGGTAACAAGAGCGAAACTCTGTCTCAAAAAAAAAAAAAAAAAAAAAAAAAAGAAAATAACAAAATTCTAAAAGGACACACACACACAAAAACAAAACAAAACAACAACAACAAAAGAAAATAACAAAATTCTGTCTAGTTTCAACTCAGTTTTCACTGCATGCATAGCAGTATTACTGTTTTCTCTGGTGGAGAATAATCATTTTTACAACAGCTCAGGAATGCCACAGATGACAAGGAAGTCAGTTCCAAAGGTTAAGGCCAAAGCTGACTAGTAGCCCATCTGGGATGCAAACCAAGGCTGTAGTTTCATTTCAGTGCATCTGATGGTACAGAACAGAACCAGCACACCTCCACCTAAACTCCCTTAATTAGCTACCGACGTCTGTGCTACTGCCAACCACCACAAGGGCACACACTCAGACCTCTGCGCAGGAGGAAGGCCTGTCTGTGACCCAGACCTTCAGTAAGTTTCCCCAGCTCTATGTCTCCCCAGAACTTTCCTGAGGAGGCTTTTGGAAAAGTATCTACACATCAGTTTATTTTAAACATACGCTTTGCACAAGTGAGTAGTGCTCAACTGTACACTGATTAGATGTGGAAATGCTATTTCTGTTGTAATTTTGGCTCTAGAATCACAGGCAGAAAATGTTTTAAGTCAGTGCTCAAACACAGGGCCAATTCCTAGAAAATTTTAGAGAAGAAGATTTTAGCCAAGGTCTTATTACATACTAGACGCAGCATCTAAACCTAACTCAAAAACCCATGTTTCCAAATATACCATAGTTTGGAAGTGCTATCAGGTCAGAGTGCTCAATAAACTTTCAGCAATACTGAAGACAGCATGATGGAACCATCTTTACAATCTCTGCAGCAATTGATAAATGCTCAGTATTTACTAAATTAACATGGTGAGACCACTTAAAGATTCAGGCCAAGCACTAGATTTTCAAGCCTGCAGCAAGAAATAAAACCATCCAAGTGAGGACGCCATTTCCAACAAGCTGAACCTAGAAGGTAAGAAGGGTTCCTGGTAAGATTTAAGACAGAAATCAGGGATTATAAATCTATAGTTTTATTAAGACAAAAACTGACAGTGTAGTATGAAGTTTACATTTAAACAAAGTTTTCACAGAAATCTAACACATGCCTAAAAAGATTTTACAATGTAGCTCTAGATGCAAGTCTAGACAATATCAAGAACTGATGGATTTCATGACTCAAGACAGAGCATTTTGGGTATGTTACTTCTTAGGATTTCTTTAAAAAAGTGTGTGTGTGTGTGTGTGTGTGTGTGTGTGTGTGTGTGTGTGTGTTTTAAAGTGAACCACTGCCCAGTATGAAAGTTTAATCTTCTCCTGGGACCAAGGTTTTTTAAGTCACCCAACTCTTGAATCAATTCAGTGAAACTTGTGCTGTCAGTGACTGAACCCTGCCACCAATGGTTTCAGAGTTCAAACCTCAAAAAAAGAGAACAGCTCCAAGAGTTCTCCCCACTAAGAGCATAGGCCCTTGTCTTTCCCTACTGTCTTATCTCCTCTACCACCCTCTTCCTCTTCCCCAACACCTCAGCCAGTGGCTTGGATGAACAAGCTGATATTTATAATTTTGTTATTGGAAAAGAAAGGTCTTCTAATTTCAGGAATTAGCACCGCTGAGACAGAATCATCTGCTTGTACTGTATACTCTCCAATAAAAGACCTTCCCTCCTCAGTCAATTTCCATTTCCAAAATGGCAACTTTGGTAACTTATGAACTGGCTTAGTCCTTTGTGGGGAACAGCAGTAAGTTTAGGCAGGGAACACCTTGGCTTATAGGTTTCAGACATTCACAGCTTTTAAACAGTCTCTCACAGTCCTTATTTATAGTGCCAATGACATTTTTTTTGAAAAGTAAAATATTCTGGACATAGAAGCATATCATTAGTTGTCTGTTCTTTCCATTGCTTCACCATTTTCCCTTTCAGACCCCCAAATTTAATCAAAATGATGCCACCCATCTCCCTTTCTCCCCTCCCCATCCCTCCCTCCCCCAAATAATACACCAGTAATAGCCAAAAACTACACACATGCTATGCTGTAAAAATGCAGAGTTAACACTATTGGGAAGAAGGCTGTGGGTTGTGGAGATGCTCTTTGAAGATCTACAGTATTTTTTTGCTCTCCCACACACCCAATTCTGCAAGTTTTGTCCTTCATAGAAGGCCCTTTGCTTTTCTCAGCAAAGTGCAGAAAAGGTTGCCTTGAAACACTTATCCCCCTTCCCCTCCACTGGGATGGGTGTGCAAACTATACAGCTTGGAACGGCTTTAAAGCACTTGGGCTGCTGCAGGGCACAGAAACTATACTGGCTCTTCAAAGGACATCTTCTCAAGCCACCTCTGTGGTGTCAAGACAAGTAGAACTCCTTCCCTTCCCACTTGAAACCCACAGTCAGATGTGACAGGGGCTGGTACTCAGGAGAGTTAATTCTTGTCATCTTTTTTGTCATCATCCTCCGAGGGGTAGGAGTGCCATGTCAGCCTTTCCTCATAGAAGGATATGACAACCTGTGGGCACTTGACATTGGCTTCCTTGGCAGGGACCAGGTCAGCCTCATCAGAGTTTTTCCTGCAGAATAAAGCAAAGAGAGACTTTGAGACCAGGTGCTAGTGGTCTATCCTAAGTTGGATAAGCCAGGGGATAGAGCTTTTAAAAATAGTAATTTTAGGCTGGGCATGGTGGTTCGCACCTGTAATCTTTGGGAGGCAGAGGTGGGCGGATCACCTGAGGTCAGGAGTCTGAGACCAGCCTGGACAACATGGTGAAAACCCATCTTTAAAAAAATAAAAATAAAAAATGAGTAATTTTAGAAAAATAGGGAACAATGAAAACGTGGCCTAAGCAGCATTTACTGGCAACTTTATGTCAAGTGACATCCTCAGAGATACTCTCCTGTTGAAAATTCCCTCTGGGGATTTGTGTATGTCAAAAGCCAGGTCACTGGACTTAACTGATCACATGTGAACATCTGGGAAAGGCCCCCAAAAGCATGACTCTTTAGAATCTCTGAGGGAAGAGAGGCTGCTTTACTCTTCCAAAAGCCATATCCCAGCTGATATGAACACATGGAGAAATCTTGGCTTTGTAATAGGATTTTTTTTTTCTTTTCTTTTTTTTTTTTTTTTGAGACGGAGTTTCGCTCGTTACCCAGGCTGGAGTGCAATGGCAGGATCTCGGCTCACCGCAACCTCCGCCTCCTGGGTCCAGGCAATTCTCCTGCCTCAGCCTCCTGAGTAGCTCGGATTACAGGCATGCGCCACCATGCCCAGCTACTTTTTTGTATTTTTAACAGAGACGGGGTTTCACCATGTTGACCAGGATGGTCTCGATCTCTTGACCTCGTGATCCACCCGCCTCGGCCTCCCAAAGTACTGGGATTACAGGCTTGAGCCACCACGTCCGGCCTTTTTTTTTTTTTTTTTTTTTTTGAGAGGGACTCTCACTCTGTCACCCAGGCTGGAGTGCAATGGCATGATCTCGGCTCACCACAACCTCCACCTCCTGGGTTCAAGCAATTCTCCTGCCTCAGCCTCCCCAAATAGCTGGGACTATAGGCGTGTGCTACCACACCTGGCTAATTTTATATTTTTAGTAGAGACATGGTTTTGCTGTGTTGGCCAGGCTGGTCTTGAACTCCTGACCTCAGGTGATCCACCTGCCTCAAGCTCCCAAAGTGTTGGGATTACAGGTTTGAGCCACTGTGCCCAACCTGGAGTAGAATTAAATACCACATCTGGCATTGGCCAGAGCAAATGAAAGCGGACACTTTCTTGCATAATCATAATTACACTGACATTTCCAAATGCTATCCTTACATAACTTCCAGGTGCTTTGAAATGTTGTTTCAACACTGGGAGGCAGAAAATGAGGGGGCCATATTTTTCTGAATTTTAAAATGTTTTCAAAATTTGAAAATCAAACACATAAGGGAATTAGGAGTAAACTCTTAGGCTGGGTGCAGTGGCTCATGCCTATAATCCCAGCACTTCAGAGGGCCAAGGTGGGCAGGCCCAGGAGTTCAAGACCAGCTGGTCAACATGCCAAAACCCTGTTGCTGCTAAAAATACAAAAATTAGCCACGCATGGTGGCTTGCACTTGTAATCCCAGCTACTCAGGAGGCTGAGACACAAGAATTGCTTGAACCTGGGAGGTGGCGGATGTAGTGAACACCTCTCTGCACTCCAACCTGGGTGACAGAGCAAGACTCTGTCTCATTTAAAAAAAAAAAAAAAATTCTTCTTTAATTTTTAATTTTTTTTTCCAGCACCAACTTGCTGTATATTTTTTTGGGAGCGGGGAGAAAAAAAAACAACTCTTATCTTCAGGTTATTAGGAATGTCCTAAACAGAAGCAGTAGCATAAGGTAAGCAGGAGACACCTGATGAGATCTCTGACAAAGCACCACCCAAAACCTCCAGAACCCCAACAACAGGAAACAAGAGCCACAGAGTCCTATGGAGCAGAAGAGTAAGCTGATAAAATATGTTTTTGAACAATGGATCCAGGAGAATGGAAGGGAAATGGGAATCTGAAGCATGCTGCCATTTGCTAACAGCTGAACAACACTCTCTGAGTTACATTCAGTCATTTCACTGCCTAGAAATATTTGCTACTTTCGGAAATATACAAGAATCCCTATTCTCCAGTAAAGTAACTTTTTAAAATGTACTTGGTCTTATAATCAAATCCAATTTTAACCTGTAGACAGTAGTGAGTCAGCCAGGTGCGGTGGCTCACGCCTGTAATCCTAGTACTTTGGAAGGCTGAGATGGGTGGATCACCTGAGGTCGGGAGTTTGAGACCAACATGGTGAAACCCGATCTCAACTAAAAATACAAAAATTAGCCAGGTGAGGTGGTGGGTGCCTACAATCCCAGCTATTTGGGAGGCTGAGGAAGGAGAATCATTGAACCTGGTGTGGTGGGGAGGGGGCGGGGGGGGGCAGAGATTGCAGTGAGCCGAGCTCAAACCCACTGTACTCCAGCAGGCTGGGCTACGAAGTGAGACCCCATCTCAAGAAAAAAAAAAAAAAAAAAAAAAAAAGACAATAGTGAGTCAACTAAAGGAATGCAATCGTAAGCAATATGGAGATATTACTGTAACTCACACTGGTTGCATGCAGAAAAAGTATCTTCTAGCTAGACTGAGTAACTCATGGTAAACAATATGGAGATATTACTGTAACTCACACTGGTTGCATGCAGAAAAATTATCTTCTAGCTAGACTGAGTAACTCATGGTTTAACTTCTCCCAACCCATAAGCAGCATCTTAAAAATGAACCTTTATCCTACAGGTAAACAATAAATCAGTTAAAAGAGGGTCAAGCTCCAGTAACCGCCTAGGGAATGCATAGATTAGCTAGTTGTGACTCTGGCTTTCAGTGCTGCTAAAGTTAGGCCTCTCCAGCCATACTGTAAAGGAGAATAATTAGTACAGATAGGAGTTCCAGAGAAAGTTCTGGACTGACAAAAGGATAAAGCTCCACAGACATTGTTTGTGTGTGTGTTTGTGTGTGTATATATTTCAAAAGACAAAGTTTCTAGAATACTGCCTTCATTGGCAATGGCTTAGAATTATTCCTTCCTAACTTTAAATACAATGATTGGCTGGGCGAGGTGGCTCATGCCTGTAATCCCAAAACTTTGGGAGGCCGAGGCAGGTGGATCATAAGGTCAGGAGTTTGAGACCAGCCTGGCAAACACAGTGAAAACCTGTCTCTACTAAAAATACAAAAATTAGCCAGGCATATGTTGGCATTCGCCTATAGTCCCAGCTATTCAGGAGGCTGAGGTGGGAGAATCGTTTAAACCCAAGAGGCAGAGGTTGCAGTGAGCTGAGACCATGCCATTGCAATCCAGCCTTGGTGACAGAACAAGACTCTTAACTTAAAAAAAAAAATACAATGATTGAGATCCACTTTGGGGGGAGAAAAAAGGCATAAGCATTTTCAATGGGAAAGAAATGGGAAGAATGGCCTTCTTTTGACAGACTAGGAAAATTATAGAGATTGCTGGGATAACTATCTTCATTAGGCTGTTTCATGGAGTATTACTATCACTGGTATTTATACTCATAATGGAAAAAATCGGGCTTGCTCTGTGCTTGACAGCAGTTAAGGAGCCTTGCTGACCCCTGCTGGCTGATTCTGTAATTGTAGAATCTGCACAAACTGAAAGGGATCTAACAAAGGACAAAAGGAAGAATTACAAATTCTTTCCTAACCCTGATAATTAGGTAGAACTTCTGATTCTGGGGCCAGCCCGATCTTTATTAAGAGGTGGTAGAAGGAGAGGGTGGTCCAATCACATTTAATTTTTCCTCCCTTTATTTACATTAGTGAGATGTGATTCCTTCCCAAACTCTTGCCACTCTAGATTTATTCTCCCACCTCCTAAAAATATGGGCAAAGACCTGAGATACTTAAGGGCTCCTACCTTTAACTCATGAGTCCAAGTTGGCAGTCAGGCCGAGGGTCACTATTGAAGGACTATGCCATCTTAACAATTTCACACTTGGGTGACTGGAATTTCGAAGGTCCAGCTGTTTTCCTCTGGTATGAAACCAATGGGAAGAAGAAAAACCACCACACAGGGCCACTGGCCGACTCACCATTTCATTAGGAACATGAGCTCTCCACTGGAGTCTGTAGCTCCAATAATCCGCTCCGGCTCTAAACCTCGAGCAAAGCCTCGTGGCTTTTCTGACTGTAAAAACAAGATGGGCAGAACAATTTTATCTATATGGGACTATTATTCAGACTGGAACCATTCCTGTGTCTCTGATTAATGTAACAAACTCTTTTGCCAATATTTCACCAGTACTTTGGCTCAAAGTAACAGAGCTTTTAGAATCCTTTGGAGTGATTATTCATCAGTGTCTGAAGCGCTTGAGATTCTCCCATATGTGAGGAGGGACATACAGTCCAAGCAAAAGCAATGTTTACAACCATCTTTTCATTCTCAAAAAACAACTTACTTTAAGGTAGTGATTAAGTCAAAATAGCCACCTCACACTTTTTAATGATTAAACATTGAAAACTATTTTTTACAGGAATGAATTCACTTGCCCTTATATCTGTCCCCAGCAAGTATTCCATTTACTGCTTCTGTACCATGGATAAAATGTAAGAAATCATGTGGCTTTATGAAAGTATGCTCTCACTTTGTAGTCATTAGCCTACCTAAGATTTTAGGACTAAGAGATGGCTGCTGATATCTGAGAAGCAGCAGAACAAAACTACTTTGACAGTAGTTTGAATTGTGGGCTAGTAAAAATTCTTAATTCTAGCTTTACCTCTTCTTTCTTCTTCTTTGGTTTGCTCTCCTCTCCCTTATCTTCAGAATCAGAATCAGCTTTGCGCTTGCCTCCCTCCGATTTATCTGTCTCATGTGCTGTTTTCTGTGACTGCAGAAACTCGGCAATGAGGTCGGGGCAATCCAGATTCTCTTCTGGCTCCCATGTGTTGTCCTCACTGAAACCAGAGGGCACAGCAAGTCACACTTTCCAGTATACTCACTAAGGATAATTGTAAGAGGACAAGAGCTCATATGTCCACGGAAAAGCTGAAATTTCTTGGAGAATGGAGAGGCTTTTTAATATACATAGAAAGCTAAGAAACTTGCTTCCTTCAAAGGCAAATGACTTTTCTTTCTAAATTTAAATTGGTCTACAGCCACACACAAAACTGTTCCTCAGAGATTACTATTGTCTGGGTACAGTGGCTCATACCTGTAGTCCCAACACTTTGGGAGGCCCAGGTCTGAGGACTGCTTAGGCCAGGAGTTAAGAGAGAAGCCTGGGTAACTAAGTGAGATGTGGTGGTGCTTGCCTGTGGTACCAGCTACTTAGAAGGCTGAGGTGGGAGGATAGCTTTAGCATGGGAGGTTGAGGCTGCAGCAAGGTGTGACTGTACCACTGTACTCCTGCCTGGATGACAGAGCGAGACCTTGTCTCAAAAGAAAGAATTTTAAAAAAGAAGTCATTCTGCTTTGGATTATAAGCAGTAGGCCATATTCCTAATTAAACAATAAGCCATGAAGGCGGGGACTGAGCCACACTGTATCCATCGCAGCACAGGAGGTCTCATGTATCTCTAGATCCTGATAAACACCTGGTGGCTACATTTACCTGTGTCAGTGAAACTTACTCTGAGAACCCCTTCCACTTTAGGAGGTACTCCACTTTGCCCTTTACCACTCGACGGTCGAGAACTTTTTCCACCACATATTCCTCTTCCTCCTCTTCTAGCACCTCCTCCACTTTCTTCTTGTTTTGTTTTTTCCCCATAGTGCCCGCCAGCTTTCTGGTATAAAGGGTGACGCTGCTAAAATGATAAAGGAAATAAAAAGGGCATTAGGGAGCACTTTTATTGGTTAGATAATATCTGGATGGTAAGAAAACCAGGGACATGACAGATGACTCTAATATTGTATGCTGTTTACAGTAAGTGTTATGCCTATTCTCACACTCGATACACACGTTTTCTGATATGTCCGGCCAGAAAGCTCATAAAACAGCCCCAATTAATCTCACAGCAATTTTTTTTTTTTTTTTTTTTTGAGAGACGGAGTCTTGCTCTGTTGCCCAGGCTGGAGTGCAGTGGTGTGATCTCAGCTCACTACAACCTCTGCCTCCTGAGTTCAAGCAATTCTCCTGTGTCAGCTTCCCAAATAGCTAGAACTATAGGTGTGTACCACCATGTCCAGCTAATTTTCATTTTTTTTTAAATTAGAGACGGGGTCTCACTATGTGTTGGACAGACTGATCTCAAACTTCTGACCTCAGGTGATCCGCCTGTCTCAGCCTCCCAAAGTGCTGGGATTACAGGTGTAAGCCACCACGCCCAGCCTTCATAGCAAAGTTCTTTGTTCTTGTATATCCATTTAAAACTTTTATGTCCATTCTTTCTAATTTAAAAAGGCTCCCAATACTCCTTTTACCATAAAGCATGGTAGCTAGGGCCAGGTGTGTTGGCCATCATCTCATCCCAGCAGATGTGACCAGCCTAGGGAACACAGATATGCGAGACCTTATCTCCACAGAAAAAAATCTATTTTAGCATAGTTGCTAAAATAATGTATTAAATTGAAAGAAGGCTGGGTGCAGTCGCTCATGCCTGTAAATTCAGCACTTTGGGAGGCCAAGGTAGGCAGATCCCTTGAGGCCAGGAGTTCGGAGACCAGCCTGGCCATCATGGTGAGACCCCGTCTCTACTGAAAATACAAAAATTAGCCAGGCATGAGCCAAGATTACATGACTGTACTGCAACCTGGGCAACAGAGTGAGATACTGTCTCAAAAAAAAAAAAAAAAAAAAAAAAAAAAAGGGAAAGAAAAGTGGTCCTCCTAAAAATGTACACATATCAATCAAAGTTACATATTACTCTCTGACTCATACTTTCTCCTATTCCATGTTTTTCTTTTCATCAAAGTACTGGACTTGAATTTTTGACTGGAATAGCTTGTCCTATTAAACATCTGTTTAACTTTTTCCTTTCATATATGCATATGTAATATAATCCATTATTCTGCATGATTAAAACACCATGTTCTGAAAAGTGTTCTCTCTCTCAAGATGCAGGCTCACCCTGCCGCCTGGGCTGGAATATGGTGGCATGATCTTGGCTCACTGCAACCTCCACTTCCAGAGATTCTCCTGACTCAATCTCCTGAGTAGCTGGGACTACAGGTGCCCATGACCACATCCGGCTACTTTTTGTATTTTTAGTAGAGACAGGATTTTACCATGTTAGCCAGGATGGTCTCAATCTCCTGATCTTGTGATTTGCCGGCCTCAGCCTACCAAAATGCTGGGATTACAGACATGAGCCACTGTGCCCAGCCAAGTTCCCTTGTTCTTTATGCAGTCTTTCCTGAATTGAACTTACAATTCACAAGTTTCAGCCGGGCGCGGTGGCTCAAGCCTGTAATCCCAGCACTTTGGGAGGCTGAGGCGGGTGGATCACGAGGTCGAGAGATCGAGACCATCCTGGTCAACATGGTGAAACCCCGTCTCTACTAAAGATACAAAAAATTAGCTGGGCATGGTGGCACGTGCCTGTAATCCCAGCTACTCAGGAGGCTGAGGCAGGAGAATTGCCTGAGCCCAGGAGGCGGAGGTTGCGGTGAGCCGAGATCACGCCATTGCACTCCAGCCTGGGTAACAAGAGCGAAACTCCGTCTCAAAAAAAAAAAAAAAAAAAAAAAAAAAAACAATTCACAAGTTTCCTGTTAACTTATTCTACTTAGTTCATTTTACAACTTTTTTCTTCTTTGAGACAGTGTCTCACTCTACTGCCTAGGTTGGAATGCAAGTCAAGCAATTATGGCTCACTGCAGCTTTGAACTCCTGGGTTCAAGTGATCCTCCTGCCTCAGTCTCCTGAGTAGCTGGAACCACAGGTGGGCCTGGCTAGTTTTTTTTTGTTTTTTTTTTGAGACGGAGTTTCACTCTTGTTACCCAGGCTGGAGTGCGATGGCACGATCTCGGCTCACCGCAACCTCCGCCTCCTGGGTTCAAGCAATTCTCCTGCCTCAGCCTCCTGAGTAGCTGGGACTACAGGCACGCACCACCATGCCCAGCTAATTTTTTGTATTTTTAGTAGAGACGGGGTTTCACTGTGTTGACCAGGATGGTCTCGATCTCTTGACCTCTTGATCCACCCGCCTCGGCCTCCCAAAGTGCTGGGATTACAGGCTTGAGCCACCGCGCCCGGCCTGGGCCTGGCTAGTTTTTTAAATTTTCAGGAGACAAGTTATCACTATGTTGCCCAGGCTTGTTTCAAACTCCTGGGCTCAAGTGATATGCCTCAGCCTCCCAAAGTGCTGAAATTACAGGCATGAGCCATCACACCTGGCCTCCAATTCATTTCTGAGAACTAAGAAGAGTCACAAAAATGCCAGAATGACCATGAAATTCTCTAAACTGGAACCCTGCAATAATTTGGAAAACAAGTGTGGGGAAAAAAGAACTGCAGTTATCAAAGACAAGAGAATCTGAGTAAACTGAGGTAACATCAGATGTATTTATATGAATACATCATCAAGCTGGGTGACATCTAAGGGTTTTTCCAGTGTTAAAATTCTAGTCCCTTATAAATCTATTTTATTTAGTCCTTCATCCAAATTTGACTTTTTTGGGGGAGGGGGACAGAGTCTCCCTCTGTTGCCCAGGCTGGAACACAGTGGCACAATCTCGGCTCACCTATGCCTCTAGGGTTCAAGCGATTCTCATACCTCAGCCTCCCGAGTAGTGGGACTACTTGCACCTGCCACCATGCCCAGTTAATTTTTTTATATTTGTTAGAGATGGGGTTCAGCATGTTGCCCAGGCTGGTCCTGACCTCAAGTGATCTGCCCACTTCAGTTTCCCAAAATACTGGAATTAACAGGGGTTAGCTACAGTGCCAGACCCAACTCTTTGACTTCTAACAGACGTAAAACCTCTTATGATTACCCATTTTTGTCAGTAGATGGCGCTATATCAATGAAACAAAACTGATCATCGCAACTGGTCAAAATATAAAAATGGATGTATCACAGTTGCCCAGAATGAAATACAAAGAATTAATTGGATAGCAGATAATCCAAGACAAGGAAGAAAGAGTTACTTCTCTGCTTGAGTTTAAGATAATACCAATTTGAGGTTAAACTGATTATTCCTACATCCTTAAGAAAGGAAGCTTACTTAACAAAAGTATAAACTTTTCTTTCTTTCTGTCTGTCTTTCTTTTTGAGATGGAGTCTCACTCTGTCGCCAGGCTGGAGTACAGTAGCATGTTCTCGGCTCACTGCAACCTCTGCCTCCCAGGTTCAGGTGATTCTCTTGCCTCGGCCTTCTGAGTAGCTGGGACTACAGGTGTGTGCCATCACACCCAGCTAATTTTTGCATTTTTAGTAGAGCCGGGGTTTCACCATGTTGGCCAGGGTGGTCTCGATCTCTTCATCTTGTGATCTGCCTGCCTCGATCTCCCAAAGTACTGAGATTACAGGCGTGAGCCACCGTGCCTGGCCAGCATAAACTTTTCTGAACACTTTAAAACTGGCATGTATAGATAGAATTTAGAAACAGTCCATCGGCCGGGCGTGGTGGGTGGATCACAAGGTCAAGAGATTGAGACCATCCTGGCCAACATGGTGAAACCCCGTCTCTACTAAAAATGCAAAAAAATTAGCCAGGCCTGTGGTGGCACGTGCCTGTGGTCCCATCTACTCGGGAGGCTGAGGCAGAAGAATCGCTTGAACCCAGGAGGCGGAGGTTGCGGTGAGCCGGGATTTCACCACTGCACTCCAGCCTGGCGACAGAGCAAGACTCCGTCTCAAAAAAAAAAAAAAAAAAGAAAAAAAGAAAAAAGAAAGAGTCCATCTACAGACTATAAGAAACAACAAACCTTTCATAAATATCAGGATCATTATTATAATCAGTTATATCATCTACAGATGCTTTACAGTCTCAGAAACAAGAGTATATTCTATATTCTATCTGCATCTATAAATAATGCTGACTTAATAAACGTTTGGTTACCAGAAAATTCTAGACATTGTGCTGAATACTAGACATTAAGGAAAATAAGAATGGTCCTTGCCTTCCTGAAGCTTAATGTCTAATAATAGATAATTTAGATACTTCTTCCACTGAAGGTATTCTGAAATCTTGCAGGGTGGCAGAAAAGAATATTTTTCTGAGGTCATTTTAGTATGGCTGAAGACAACATCCTACCCTCGTCCACACAGTTCTGAACCTTGTCGGAACACACATCAGTGTTAACAGCTCATACAGCTATCTTTTCAACACTCTTCTTCTCCATTTACACACTACAGACTCAGCTTTCCTTCTCTACCCAACCCCTTGTTGTCTTTTAGACTCTAGATGAGTTTTCCTTTCCTTCTGTTACTAAACCAACCAACCACTGGATTGCATGTAATCTTTGGCTAATTCTTGGCTAGCTTTACTGAGCCTATGATTTAGGGGCATGTGCTTCTTCCTGGAGGGAGATGTTTTCAGATTTTCAGAATTCTGATTGCTCAATGATAACTGTTATTTTATGAGAAAAGAAAAATCTAACTTTCCTCTTGGATAAATGCAGTGTTTTCTCCCAAGAGCACATGCTACTCTTTGCTTGCTTCCTTTCATTGTCAGTTGAAGGGGTAGCAAGATTCACTGTCAGTCTTTGGTTATAGCACAGGGAAAAGTAAACTGACAATTCACCTTTAGGTACAAAGGCTACCACAACTCCTTTTCTCAATAGACAGAAGGGAAGGATTGAGTTATGTAATCAGTAACTGGGCCACCACCGGCCAGACGCGGTGGCTCATGCCTGAGATCC